CTGTTTCGCCTCTTTTCCTGGACAGCTGCTGCCCATCATCCTCTTGTCCTCTGAGGGTTGTTTCTGTTCTGTGTTGGTTGATGTGCACAAGAACTCTACAAAGGCCCTGTCCTGGGCCAGCAGCTCCTACAGTAGTAGGAGCCCATTATGGAACTGTAGATGCTCACTCCATTCAGGTAGGACAAGCCTCTACCCAGACTGAAAGGATATCTACTGATAAAGAGTGAAACTGCCAATATCAAAAGAGTTGGGCCCCTCACGTTGGCCTCCTTGTGCAGTGGGTCACCTCTGTCTTTAGATTAGTTTGAGTACACAATAGTTTGTTGCAAATGGAGTTCTCCCAAATGAGGTTCCCCCAAATCCTCAAACTCTTGGGCTTAAGTGATCCTCTTGCCTGAGCCTCCTGAGTACCTGAGACTAAAGGCACCCACCACAATGCCTGGTTAATTTTTCTATTTGTTGTAGAGATGGGATCCGGCTCTTGCTCAGGCTGGTCTCAACTGATGAGTTTAAGCGATCCAGATGCCTCAGCACAAATCCCAAGTGTTAGGATTACATGTGCTGTGCCCAGCACAAATGTTATTTTTTTGGACAATATTTGGAGTCAACATTTGGAGGATCTGTATAAGTCAATGAGCTAATTATTTCCAAATGACTGGTATAGTAAGTTACAAAATCAGGCATGCAATCCATTCAACATGCAATGTGGAATAGGTTTCTTCTTTTTGACAGCTTGCTTTTGCTTTTGGTTTTGTTTTGAGATGAAGTCTCACTCTGTAGCCCCAGGCTAGAGAGCTATGGCCTCAGCCAAGCTCACAGCAACTTCAAACTCCTGTGCTCAGCTGGTCCTCCTGCCTCAGCTCCTAAATAGCTGGGAGTATGGATGTGTGCCACTACACCCAACTAATTTTTCTAGTTTTAGTAGAAATAGGGGGTTTCACTCTTGCTCAGGTTGGTCTCAAACTCTTGAGATCAAGGGATCCTCCTGCTTTGGCCTTCCCAGAGTTCTAGGATTACAGGTGTGAGCCACTGTGCTGAGCCTAATTTGTATTTCTTTAATGACTGATGTATTATTTCTTCACATGTTTATTTGTCATCCATATGGCTTCTTTAGTGAAGTGTCTCTTAAAACTTTTGCCGATTTTTTTATTGGGCTGATTATTGAGGTATGACAGTTTTTAAAGGTATACTTTCTAGATATAAATTCTTGATCAGATATGTGATTTTCAAATATCTGCTATGGTATTATCTTTTCATTCTGTTAATAGTGACTTTTGATCAGAAGCACCTAAGTTTGATAAAATCCAGTTCATCCCTTTTTTCTTGTGAGTGCTTTTGGTATTTACCCAAGAAATCAATGCCCAAACCAAGTTCACAAATGTGTATGTATATATACATATTTGTTTTAGAGATGGGGTCTTGCTATTTTGCCCAGGTTGGCCTTGAACTCCCGGGCTCAAGCAACCCTGCTTCGGTTTCCTGAGTAGCTGGGACTATAGGCTCATGCTGTTGCACTCAGCTTAGGTGTTTTTGTTGTTGTAAATGCTATTTTCTTTTCTTTCTTTCTTTTTTCTCATTTTTGTCCAAGGCTGGGCTTGAACCTGCCACCCCTGGTATATGGGGCTGGCGCCCTACTCCTTGAGCCACAGGTGTCACCTGGTATTTTCAACCTTAGACTGTTCATTGCTAATACAATTGTAATTAAGTTCTCTCCTTTTTTAAAAAAACATTATTTATGGACAATGAAATTTGAACTTCATTTCATGTCAAGAAATGGTACTTTTCTTTTCTTTTTTTGAGACAGAGTCTCACTTTGTTGCCCTCAGTAGAGTGCTCACAGCAAGCTCCAATTCTTGTGCTCCTGTGATTCTCTTGCCTCAGCATCCCTAGTAGCTGGAACTGTAGGCATCCACCAGCTTTTCTTTTTTTTGTTTTGTTGTTGCAGTTTGGCCGGAGCCGGATTCGAACCTGCCACTCTCAGTATATGGGGCCAGTGCCCTACTCACTGAGCCACAGGCGCCACCCCCACCAGCTATTTTTAGAAATGAGGTCTCACTCTTGCTCAGGTTGGTCTTGAACCTGTGAGCTCAGGGCAATCCACCTGCCTTGGTCTCCCAGAGTGCTGGGCTTACAGGCGTGAGCCACCATCCCTGACCTGCAATTAAATTCTGCATATTGATTTTATAACTTGTAGTCTTGCTCATCTATTAATGATGGCTTTTAGTTGATTTTGTGGAATTTTCTTTTCTTTTTTCTGAGACGGAGTTTCATTTTGTCATCCTTGGTAGAGTGCTATGGCATCATAGCTCATAGCAGCCTCAAACTCCTGGGTTCAAGCATCATCTTGCCTCAGTTTTTCTATTTTTAGTAGAAGTGGAGTTTCACTCTTGCTCAGGCTGGTCTCTAACTCCTGAGCTCAAGCAATCCACCTGCCTCAGCCTCCCAGAGTAGTAGGATTATAGGCATGAGCCACCATGTCTGGCCCTATTTTGTGGGATTTTCAACAAGTCACCTACAAATAAAGGCAGTTCTACTTCTTCCTAATATGAATGCCTTCTCTTTTTCTTGCCTTTTGCACATGTTAAACCCATAGTACAATGTTATAAGTGGTGAGAGCAGAAATTCTCTTTTCTTTTTGAGTCAGAGTCTCACTATGATGCCCTTGGTAGAGTGCTGTGGCAGCACAACTCACAGCAACCTCAAACTCTTGGGCTTAAGCAATTCTCTTGCCTCAGCCTCCCAAGTAGCTAGGACTACAGGTGCCTGCCACAATGCCCGGCTATTTTCTTGTTGCAGTTGTTATTGTTGTTTAGCAGGTAGAACCTGCCAGCCTGGGTGCATGTGGCTGGCAGCATAACCACGGTGCAATGGGCGCCAAGCCTCTTGCTTTTTTCTTGATCTTAGGGTGAAAGCATTCAGTTCATCACCGTTAAGTGTAATGTTTCTTACAGATGCTCTCTACCTTATTGAGGAAGTTTCCTTGTAATCCTAGGAATGGATATGTTTTGCTACATCTCTTGAGATGATCATATGGTTTTTCTTTTTTAGTCTTTAGGTGAATTATTAATATATTCCTGGGATAAGCCCCTATTTGGTCATAATGTATTATCTTTTTTTATATATTGTGGAATAACAATGGTTAGAATTTTGTTAAGAATTTTTGCCTTAGGCCAGTGTAGTGCCTCAGGCTTGTAATCCTAGCTCTCTGGGACACTGAGGCAGGTGGATTGCTTGAGATCAGGAATTTAAGACCAGCTAGAGCTAGATCTAGACGTGTGTCTACTAAAAATAGAAAAACTAGCCCTGCTTAGTTCCGGAGCCTGTAGTCCCAGGTACTCGGGCGGCTGAGGCTAGAGGATTGCTTGAACCCAAGAGTTTGATGTTGCTCTGAGTCATGACCTTACAGCACTCTACCCAGGGCTACAGAATGAAACTGTCTCAAAAAAAACCACCCCCAAACAACAAAAAAACCAAAAACCATGAGTGAAGCAGTATGCAGATAAAGCAGTGTGGAGGGATTTATCTCACGAAATGCTTAAAGTACAAAAGAGATCTCTAATGACTTCAGTTTGAGTTAAGAAACTAGAAAATATCGGTTAAACTAGAAGGAAATAATAAACATAAAAGCTTCAATCAATGAAACAGAAAACAGAAAGAGAAAATCCAAGAGAGCAAAAGCAGACTTTGAGATTCGTAAAGCTGCTAACCCTCTCACCAGATTGATCAGGAAAAAAGGAAGATGACACAAATTACAAATTTCAGTACTAAGAGGGTCTGATTTTATTTTTTTTGAGATAAGAGTGTCACTTTGTCGCCTTTGGTAGGGTGTCGTGAAGTCATAGCTCACAGCAGCCTCAAATTCTTGGGCTCAAGCAATTCTATTGCCTCAGCCTCCCAGGTAGCTGGGACTACAGGCACCTGCCACAACGCCTGGCTATTTTTAGAGACAGAGTCTCGCTCTGGGTTAGGCTGGTCTCGAACCCGTCAGCTCAGGCAATCCACCGGTCGCGGCCTCCCGAGAGCTAAGATTACAGGTACAAGCCACGGCCGGGCCGGGTGTACAGGCATTAAAAGAACAACTAAAAATACCGTTAACAGGCTCGGCGTCTGTAGTTCAGGGGGTAGGGCGCCAGTCTTATACACAGGAGTTGTCCAGATCGAATCCAGCCCGGACGTGCCAAACGACAACTACAACCAAAAAATAGCCGGGCAATGTGGCGGGCGCCTTTAGTCCCAGCTACTCGGGAGGCTGAGGCAAGGGACTCGCTTAAGTCCAAGAGTTGGACGTTGCTGTGAGCTGTAACGCCACCGCACTCTATCGAGCGCGACATAGTTAAGACTGTCTCAAAAACAAAAAAATGCTGTTAACAGATTTGCACTAATGAAACAATTTATATAACTCCACAAACTATTAAAGCTCACTCAAGAAGAAATACCAATAAATAGTCACCGAATCAGTGATTTGAAGGCTACCTACTACGGACAGGGCGCTGAGTTCGGTCTTTAGAGATAAATACGCATTTTCATTCCAACACATTTCTTAGTTTCCTGGATAAGAAAACCAACAAATAAAGCTTAATACTGATCCGGTGGAGACGAGTAGAGGAAAACTGGTTCAGGAAGAACTTCTCTGGGTCCAGCCACTCCGCTGACAGACGAAGGGCTGCTAGAAAGGGTTTATCAGAACAAGAGCAGCCGCCTGTAAACTAGAGCACAACGTGCCCTGACACAGCTCCGCGCGACTCAGCTCAATACTTTGTCCCGTCCCAACTCGAGCCAGCAGCCGCAGAGACTTCAGCCCGGGTCTAGCCGAGTAGTCCTGCGCCTGCGCAATTGAGCAGAGCGCGCTTAGGCGGGGGCAAGGTGGATGCCGGAAGTGTGACCTCTTGCTCCCGGGTGGGTATTCTCATCCGGGTCATGTCGATCTTCCGGGGTTCTCAGACAGGGTTCTGTACGCCGCTTTTTCGGCAACTTTTTAGTCTTCCGCTTTTTCGCCACCGCCCCCAACCTTCCACACCCTGCAGTCTCTGCCTTTTCTTGTATTGCTCCTCCCCTGGCAGCCGCGCCCGAGCTTTGGATCGAAAGCCAGAGCTGTCGCTGGGCCTAGCCTTCCCGCGAGTCACCACTACCTCCTTTGGCTCGGGAGAAAGCTGCGACCGAGCACGCCCGACTGTCGCCGCCGCTCGGGCCTGGAGCTCTTGGGCTGGCAGTGCTGGTAGGCCCTGCTTAGCTGTTCCCCAACGACACTTGCAAGTTTTGGGAGTTTAGAGGAGGGACGGACCAGTGTAGGCCAAGTCGGGGGCGGGGCGCGGGAAACTTTCTGAAACTGTAGCGTTTTGTTTTCCGTTTGTTTTCCCGGCATTATCTCTTAGATATCCCAGACCTACGGCGGCCCCCCAGGCTACTATACTTAGTGAAGAATCTTAGGATCGCTTACTTTCCTCACTCGTTTTGTCTTCCCTGCGTCCTGTTCCCCCGTCTCCCGCTCCCCTCCTGCGTCCTCTGTCCGGGACCCAAAGAGGAAGAGTGTCTTGGGACTCCTGCATGGTGTTTCAAAGGGTGGTGAAGAACGAAGGTAAATATCTGGGTTAATTAACAATTTAAAAAACGCATTTGTCTTTAAGTCATTTAATTAAATGGCGTGAAATTTTCTCTGTATTCCACTGTATGGGAAAACGCATAGGTTGAGAATGATAGTTGTATTCTCTTTTCTCGTTTAGCCTTTGTAAATAGGATCTTCGGCTCTCTAGATAAGAGCACGAGTGGTTTCTGTGTCTAGCAGTTTCTGGGTTGTCTAAATTCCTTGTTTTATCTTCCAGTTCTTTGTTTAAAATAATTATTTGCTGTTAGAGTGAACAGAGAAGAAACAAAGAGAAATTGTAATACTCAAGCTAAATTGACAACTTGTTAACGGGTGCGTTGTGTATGATTTGTGAAGAAAGAGATCATATGCCACTAAATTTATGTTATTTTTCAGGTGACATGCTAGTTTTGTAAATACCATCGTATTGTCTGATTCAGTGCTACCGGGCATTTAACATACACTGATTAACAGCACGGAGGCTTTTAGTTTGTACTGATTAGTAGCCAGTAATGGTAACATTACTTAGTTGGTGTGACTGGCCCAAGTTGTATCTGAAAGGTCCAGCAACAGATGAGTTCCATGTGAAACAGGCCATTTGTCAGTCATTTAAGAAATGCCCCTTTGGGACATTGTTACTAGATTCTTTGTTTGACGTTTTGATGGAATTTAATTCTTTTTTTTTTTTTTAACATGTTATATGGGCACAGAGATTCTGCAAAATACAAATACTCATGAAAAAATGTTGGGCTAGAACTGTAACAGGAAAAGTTATAGTAGTTGAAGGAAATTAGGCCAATAGTAAAGACCCTGTAGCTCCAACATAACTATGCTGCTTAGTACTGCGGAGATGACTTTTACTACACAGCACAGAATTGACCCAAGAAGTAGTTCAGTCCCTTTTAGGTGAGGAACCTCATGGCATTCATTTGTCTCCTTAGTACAAATGCCATTAAAAATTAGTTTGTCAGACCTGATTTTTGTCACTGTTACTTTATCCAGTTTGTCCTATATATCTTTATGTGCAGTGCAACATTTTATATAAAGAAGCATACTTCAGTCATTGCCCTCTCAGTGGTAGTGATGAACATTTGAGTTATATCACTTAGATTCAGTTCCAGGAATTTAATTCTTAAGAAAAAGAAAAAGGAAAGACTTGTTTAAAAACTGAAGGTGGTTTTGGCAATGGTTGAGCAGGATGTAGGAATTGGACTTTTGTATTGTGGAGAAAAGAAGTGGGTTTTGGGGTTCTGAGATATTTGGACATAGTAGACAAATAACTTGGTTTAACCAGTACAGTTCTGGTTTTTATGCTAGATAGATTTTGCTTTTCAATAAATCCTTATGAAGGTATTGTATAACCTTAGGTATTCGCTAGTTTATTGGAGGAGAAGTCAAATTGAGGACAGAAGTTCCAGGTTCCAAGTTACCAACCCAAATACTGTATGTGTCGCCAGGAATTATTTTGTAATAATATTTTGTAATAATAATAATTTTGTCTGTTACTATCTCTTTTTATGTTACAAATAAGCCTGCATAATTTCCCATTGGGTCCATTCAGTTAGGAAGCAGTCTTTATGGTTCTCTCCGTAAGGTATGAACCAATACGACTGTTTTGTTGTACAACATTTCAAAATTAGCTCAATCTGTATAGTTGAGTACAGACTGAGAAACTGTTAACTTTTAAGGTAAGGAAAATGGGATACTGCCAATTTCTGGATTTTATTCCTCTGTCACAAAATTTGTCACACCCGCTACCACAGTTAATTTGGACTAGTTTTGTATAGCTCATCTCTACTTAGAGAAGAAGCCCTTCATTCAAAATAAAAAGAAAACAAAGATTTAAAATTTTACGGAGGTCCACTTAACTCTGGTATAGTAATAGTTTTACTGGATTTTATTCTGTGAAACTGATCTGTTTAAAAAATGATTATATTGTTTATGATAGATTATCGTTTTGGTGTCATTTCTATTTTCATCAAAATCAATGTTGAGATGTATTAAGAAAGGAATTGAAATTCATGGGCTTTTCATTTACTTTCTTATCTCTAGATCAATGTTTTTCAACCTTTTTTATGTCCCGGCACACTTGAACCTATAGAAAAACTTCTGCAACACACTTAAATTGTGTTGATTTTGAAAAGTTAAAAAAGAAGAATATACTTATTGTGCTTTGAATATTTTTTTTTTTTTTTTTTTTTTTGGGGCATCACAGCTCACAGCAACCTCCAACTCCTGGGCTCAAGCGAGTCTCCTGCCTCTGCCTCCCAAGTAGCTGGGACCACAGGCACCCCACCACAACGCCTGGCTATATTTTGGTTGCAGCCGTCATTGTTGCTTGGCGGGCCCAGGTTGGATTCGAACCCGCCACCTTAGGTATATGTGGCTTGCGCCTTAGCCACTCGAGCCACAGGTGCTGAGCCTTGAATTTCTTCTGAAAGTAATTTAATTAATGATCTTTAAAAATTTTTGAGGCATATCTAACATTCTCTCATGGCATATCAGTTGAAAATTACTGTTCTAGATGGTTTTTCAAGACACCTATATTAGTGATCATTGAATGAATGCTATTCATTGATTAAATGCCCTAAGAGTGATTCTCCCCACTTGAAGCCTGGCCTGGTTAAGAGCCCTATTTGAGGGCTAAAATTCTCCTTATAGCTATTTGTTTTGGAGGGACTCTAAAAGATTCGATCCTTATTTGGGAATTTGGAGTAGGCAAGTAGGATAAACTGGATATCTGCCCTAGAGCAAACTGCTGTGGAATCATTCTAAACTTTTAAGTTTGAGATAATTTTGTTAACTTGGTAGAGTAGTTCTGAGTCACAAGACATCTTTTGACTTATTCTTAGTTTGAATTTCACCTTGTAATGGGATAGAAACAAGGTGAGGCCTGGGCTGTTACGTCATTTTGGGTCTTCAGATCCAAATGCACAGAGTATAGGACCGTGTTTGGTTGCAGAGGCAGAATACAGGATATTATTTATAGATATAAATAAAAAGTGTCTCTAAACTTTTAACTGTGAACTGATTTAAATAAAACTGAAAATAGAACATTTTAAATTCTAGTTTTTCTGGATACACATTTTTTTCTATTGATTACATTTATAGCATCCAACAAAATGAAATACCAAGTCAAATTTGTTACAACAAATTATATTCGGTATCATTTTCTCATAAATCATATGGAGTAGGAATTATGTTTTATGGGAAGTTAGGTAAGGGAAGCAGAGAAAAGAAGACCAAGAAAGTATGAACCTGGGCAAAGTTAGAACGAGGGTTCATTCTAGTCTTGAATCGGCAATTCAAGATTATTGAAGGTACTTACATTTATTTATTTTTTATTTATTTTTGTTTTAGAGACAGAGTCTCAAGCAGTCGCCCTAGGTAGAGTGCCATGGTGTCATATAGCTGACAGCAACTTCAAACTCTTGGGCTAAAGCGATCCTCTTGCTTCAGCCTCCCCAGTAGCTGGGATTACAGGCACCTGCTTCAGTGCCCAGCTATTTTTTAAGTTAGAGTCTTGCTCTTGTTCAGGCTGGTCTCGAATCTATGAACTCAAGGCAATCCACCCGCCCCGGTCTTCCAGAGTGTTGGGATTACAGGCGTGAGCCACTACGCCTGGCTGTAAATTTTAATCTTACATGATTGAAAAAACCAGAAAAGGCTCTGTGCTCATGGTTCAGTGAGTAGGGTCCTGGCCAGCCACATACACTGCACATTGCGGGTTTGACCCCGACTCTGGCCTGCTAAACAACAATGACAGTTGCAACCAAAAAAAAAATAACCGGGTGTTGCGGTGGATGCCTGTACTCCCAGCTACTTAGGAGGTTGAAGCAAGAGAATCACCTAAGCCCAAGAGTTTGAGGTTGCTGTGAGCCATGATGCCACAGCACTCTACCAAGGGTGCCATAGACTCTGTCTCAAAAACAAAAGAAAAAAAAGAAAAGAAAAAACCAGTAAAGTTTGTTAGTCATTTACTAGTTTCTTTCCAGATCGTTTTCTCTTTTTTTTGTCTTAGTTTTAGTTTTTCTAATCCTCCTAGTCTTAATCTTCAAAGGTAACCACTTTAATTTTTTTAGCTGCCTAGGTGTTATTTTTGCTTGTTTATAAAGCTTCTTTGGCTCATTTCCTTTGATTTACATTTACTGAAATTGAGGATTTAGTACTTTTTGTACCCTCTTTCATCCTCCAACGTATGTACAGTCAAAAATTACTATATATAAACATAAATATATAACAATACATGTACTATATAAATAAGTGCACTCTGTAAGTTGGCCACTCAAGGGACTGCAGAAATTATTATATATAAACATAAATATATAACATAATACATGTACTATATAAGTAAATGCACCTCTGTAAGTTGACCACTCAAGGGACTGTAACAAACTGGTCAGCAGGCTGGGTATGGTGGCTCACGCCTGTAATCCTAGCACTTGGGAGTCCGAGGTGGGTGGATTGCCTGAGCTCATGAGTTTGAGACCAGCCTGAGCCAGAATGAGACCCTGTCTCCCTGTCTCTAAAAAAATAGCTGGGTGTTGTAGTGGGCACCTGTAGTCCCAGCTACTTGGGAGGCTGATGCAAGAGGATCACTTGAGCCCAAGAGTTTGAGGTTGTGAGCTATAATGCCACAGCACTCTACCAAGGTGACCAAGTGAGACTTTTGTCTCAAAAAAAAAATAATAATAAACTGGTCAACATACAGAGGTGGTCAGCATAAGGAACTGGGCCTCTGTACTGATAGGGGCATTTGGTGCATGTCTGGTCTATGAAAATTAGGTCAATTTAAGGAGGTGGTCACTTAGGTTCTACTGTATAATAAATAATAAATTCTATATAATAAATATGACATTTTTATATGAGTGTATTCAATGTTTATGTTATTGTAAAAACAGGTAGGTAACTATGATTTTATTTCCTTTGTTATGTTACCTTTTGAGTATTTTTTCCTTGTGGTTTAGTAATTTATTTTTAACTAACTGCTTTTTTGTATATCTATAATGATTTCTGCTCTGTTAGCAAAATTTCTCTCTATGGTCAGATACATCAGGTAATCTACTAGTTAATCCTTTTCCCTTGGCTATCTTGAAGCCTTCCATCCTACTATTCTAAATTGAGCTGTTAGCTTCCCCTCCATTGTCTTGGAGAATTTACTTTGTTACTGCCTTTCAGTGGATCTCTTCCTACCTTCCTCCCTTCTTCCTCCTCTCCCTTCTTCCTCCTCTCACTCCTCTCCTTTCCTCCTACTTCTCCCCTGCCCCTCCATCATTGCCTAGGCTAGAATGCCATGGCAGCTGCAGTCTCCCAAGTCTTGGGCTCAAGTGATTCTCTTGCCTTAGCCTCCCAGTAGCAGGGACTACTGGTACGTGTATGCTACCATGCCTGGCTAATTTTTCTATTTTTTATAGAGACAGAGTCTTGCTATGTTGCTCAGGCTGACCTCCAACTCCTGGCCTTAAGTGGTCCACCTATCAGTCTCCTAAAGTACTAGTATTACGGGCATGAGCCACTGCACCTAGCTAGATCTCCCTTTTTCTAGCTCTCCTCTCCTCCCCTATCCTCTCCTTCTCTTCCCTCCCTTCCCCTCTCTTCTCCTTTCCTCCCCTCCTTTCCCCTCCCCTGTCCTTTCCTCCCATCCCATCCCTTCCCCTCTTTAATTTTTTTAGAGACAGGGTCTCGGTCTTGCTCAGGCAGGTCTCTAACTCCTGGGCTCAAGCAGTCTACCTCCCTTTGCCTTCGAGAGTGCTAGGATTATAGGCACGAGCCACCACACCCAGCCTAGATTTACTTTTTTTTTTTTTTTTTGAGACAGAATCTCACTTTATTGCCCTCAGTAGAGTGTCACAGCTCGCAGCAACCTCCAGGTCTTGGACTCAGGCAATTCTCTTGCCTCAGCCTCCTAAGTAGCTGGGACTACAGGTGCCCGCCATAATGCCCGGCTATCTTTTATTGCAGTTTGGCTGGGGCCGAGTTCAGACCCGCCACCCTTGGTATATGGGGTTGGCGCCCTAGTCACTGAGCCACAGGTGCCACCCACCCCCCAGTTTTATTTTTGTTTTAAAATATCTTACATGTCTAAAAATGGTTTTATTCTACCTTGCATTGATAGTATAGCTAGGTATAGAATTATAGTTTGAGAGTATTTTCCTCAGAGCTTTGAAGGCATTTGTCCTTGTCTTGTGCTATTAAGAAGTCCAATGCTATGTTGATTTCTAGCCCTTTATAACATTTTCCCCCCTTTGGAATATCTTAGAAGCTTTTTCCTGATATTCTGAAATTTTGCCATCATAGGGCTAGATGTGTATCTTTTTTTACTGTGCTAGTGACTGATTAGATCCTTTCAGTCTGGAGATTGGTATCTTTTAGTTCTGGACATTTTCTTATTTTATGTATTTATTAATGTCCCCTGTATTTCTGTGTTCTTTCTGAACATTCTATTATAGTGTTGGATGTTGGACCATATAGTTTGATTGTCTGTGGCTCTGTCTCTTTCTTGCCTCTACTGACTTTTCCTTTCTGTTCTTTCTATTATAATTTTATTCAGTGTTAGCTTTTAACTTTCTCCTGGTTAATTCTACTTTCACTTTTAGATTTTCCAAGAGCCTTTTCTTTTTAAATGGCATATTTTTGTCTTATATATGCAGTGTCTTTTCATTATTCAGAAATTTTTTTTTGTGCATAGGTGTTCTTTTATTTCTGGCCTTGTTTCTGTTTATTCCTAGATTTTTTTTTTTTCTTGTGATCCATGGATGTCATTTTAATTTAATTAATTCATTTTTTGGAGACACAGTCATGCTTTGTTGCTCAGTGTGGAATACAGTGGTGTAATCATAGCTCATTGTAGCTTGGAACTCCTGGGCTTAAGTGATTCACCTGCCTCAGCCTCCCAGGTAGCTAGCACTGGAGGTACATACTACCATGCCCAGTGAATTTTTGTAGCGATGAGGTCTCTATATTTTGCCCAGGCTGGTCTTGAACTCTGAGCTTCCAGCTATCCTCCCACCTCAGCCTTCCAAAGTGCTGGGATTATAGTGTGTGAGCCATCACCCCCTACCCCCATGGGTATCTTTTTCAAATGAGAAGTACTGTAAGTCTAATTGAAAGCTTTAAGTGTGGATGGGCTTCATTGTGGGTTGATCAGTTAGCTAGCTTGACTTTGTCTCTGTGGGCTCCCAACTGTTGCTAGTTATAGGTTCTCTTGTTACTATAATACTGCGTGTAGTAACTTTCATTCTTTTAGGTATAGATATTCTTGTTACCATATTATATAGTTTTATCTCTCATTTTTTTGATAAAAGAGTTTTCTAATTGCTTATTTTAAGAAAGGAATTTGCATTACCTAACAGTTTATGAAATTCTGATAGTCTCCTCAAAGTCTACATAATCTATATACAAGATTTGTAACAAAAGAGGGCTTCATTCCACAGGATGGAGGAAAAACTGTACAAAAACTGCAGGTCTATTTTTACTTTGTGGACTTTACATAATCCTTGTTTTAATTTTTTGTTGTTCCTTACCTTTTGTAAGACTATAGCTTCTCTATATCAGTCATCACAAAGAATAAATATCTAGTCTCCTGCTTAGATAGATATTCTGATTGCTTTTTATATAGTTCATTCACCTTTGTTGTGGAACAGAGCCCTCTTTTGTTAGAAATCTTTTATGTAAGTTATGTAGGCTTTAAGGAGAATCTCAGAATTTTATAAATTGTTAGGCAAAAGATTCCTTCTCTTGTTTAATTAGATTTGAGAGATCCAAATCCTAGCAATCAGGTTGTCATGTAATGGCGTATGATCCAGGGGTGTCCAACCTTTTTTTTTCTCTGTCACAAATTAGAAGCCCATTAATTTGGGCCACAAATTAAATGCAAAAACACTAATGAAAGAAAAAGGTCTGCCTACTTTTTATGATATATGACACAGATAAAGAAAATAGTCCTCAGATAATCTACATGCAGCCTGCAGGTTGGACAATGGCCCTTTGTATAAATTGGATTGAGAATAAATGTAAGAATGAAATGTGGGATTTCATTAAATCTCTCTTGAGTGGTTTCTATCAGAGTATGTGGTGGTAACTTGATTTCTAGAAGATTTGCTTATGTGGTATTAGGGTAAATTCATCAAAGAATTAGGAATGTGAGCCAGGAGCAGTGCCTCATGCCTGTAATCCTAGCACTCTGGGAGGCCGAGTTGAGGAGTTAAAGACCAGCTTGAGCAAGAGTGAAACATGGTCTCTGCTAAAAATAGAAAAAATTAGCTGGATGTTGTGGCGTGGGCCTATAGTCCCAGCTACTTGAGTGACTGAAGCAAGAGGTTCACTTGAATACAGGAGTTTGAGGTTTCTGTGAGCTATGCCAATGCCAAGACACTCCAGCCTGGACCAACAGAGTAAACCTCTGTCTCCCCCCTCCCCCCAAAAGGAATATGCATAAATTTGGCCATTTGAATAATGTGGTTAATTTAGATTTAGAATTCACTATTACTAAGTTTTTATTGTTATCTACAGTGGAATTTAGGAGAGCTCTTTAAATTTAAAAAAATAACTTTGCAAATGAAATTTGTAACAATTTGTAATTGTTTTAAATTATATACAAGAGTTATGGAAGACTTCAGTATCTTTAAGCTATAATAATTGAGTATTATCTTTTAAAATTATCCTAGGTAGAAGAATACATGTTCACTTTCAGTGAACACGAGCATGTTCCCAAACTCAATATTGGGTCGCCCACCCTTCTCTCCAAACCATCAACAACATAATAACTTCTTCACCTTGTCACCAGCTCTTTATTCACACCAGCAGCTTATAGATGCACAATTCAACTTTCAGAATGCAGAGTAAGTATGGTGATATAATATTTTGGCCCATATTGTTGGTAAATTTAGTTATCTATTTAACATAAACTTTACCTGTATGAAGCATTTGAAGGTAGAGAATGTCCTCACTTCTTGTTTCTTTTGTCTGGTGCAATGCTAAGTTTTTCTGAAATTAGTGCTTGTTTTTAAGGAAAATAGTATATATTAATAATGTACATTACCACTGTTCTTTTTGTTTTTGATAGTTTGTCTAGAGCTGTGTCATTACAGCAGCTGACATATGGAAACGTCAGTCCAATACAGACCTCAGCTTCTCCATTATTTCGAGGAAGGAAGTAAGTACTTTTCAATTATTTTAAAAGAAAATTTTGCGTTTTTGAGAATTGTGTACAGTATCTTGTATTACAATTATATAGACACTATGTCCTAAATTTTGTTTTCTGGTACCTATGGGATTAAATTAGTCACAGAATTTTAAAATTTTTATGTATTTTAAAAATTATATCTTATTGATTTGTTCTTGACATTATTATATGTTTTAGGAAACTACTTCAGAAAACTACTTTTTAATTTAGATTTTTAACTAAATCAGATGGCCTTCTGTATTCATTTGCTAGGGTTGCTATAACAAAGCACCAAAAGGCTAGGAGGCTTAAGGAACAGAAATTTATTTTCTCACAATTATGGGGGCTAAAATTCCAAGATAAGATGTCAGCAGGGTGGATGTCTTTGGAGGCTGTCTTGTTGGCTTGTAGCTGGCTATCTTCTCTCTGTCCTCTTTTTTTTTTTTTTTTTTTTTTTTTCTCGAGACAGAGTCTCACTTTGTCAACTTTGGTAGAGTGCTGTTGCATCGTAGCTCATGGCACCCTCAAACTCTTGGGCTCAAGTGATGTTCTTGCCCCAGCCTCCCAAGTAGCTCGGACTATAACACCTGTCTATTTTTGGAGACAGGGTCTCACTCTTGCTTGGGCTGGTCTCAAACCCATAAGCTCAGGCAGTCCACCCGCCTAGGCTTCCCAGTGTGCTTGGAATCCAGGTGTGAGCCTCTGGTTTCTATATCCAAATCTCTTCTTCTAAGGTACCTGTCATTTTGGATTAGGGTTCATCCTAAGCAACTCATTTTAATCGAATTACCTTATAAAAGGCCCTTCCTCCAGATACAGTCACATTCTAAGGTACTGGGGCTTAGGACTTTATTTAACATTTGAATTTCAGGGGATTTCAGCTCACTTCATAACATTTCCTTTCGAGTAAATTTACTATACATTTTTCTTTTGATTTATCTGAAGGTAGAGTTCCATGATAAATATTGTTATTATTATTATTTTATTTGAGACAGTCTCAATATGTCACCCTTGTGGCATCACAGCTCACAGCAACCTCCAACTCAGGCTTAAGCTATTCTCTTGTCTTGCCCTCCCAAGTAGCTGGGACTACAGGCGCCTACCACAACGCCCAGCTATTTTTTTTGTTGCAGTTGTCATTGTTGTTTATCTGGCCTGGGGTGGGTTCCAACCCACCAGCCTTGGTATATGTGGCTGACGCCCTACCCCTGAGCTATGGGTGCCACCAATAAACATTATTATAATGAAAATTTCTATGTAGCATGAAGCTTTCTATAGTCAAGTCAGGAGCCAATTAATATTAACCTATTTCATTAAAAGAAAAATCATTTATTACAAAATAATTATAATACCACTTGAGAGGTAGTTGTTAAAATAACATTGGGCAATTTTGTGGAAGATACTGAGTTTACTTAAAAGCCTTATATAGAAGGCAGTGCCTGTGGCTCAGTGGGTAGGGCACCAGCCCCATATACTGAGGGTGGTGGGTTCGAACTCAGCCCCCACCAAACTGCAACAACAACAAAAAATAGCTGGAGGTTGTGTTGGGCACCTGTAGTCCCAGCTACTTGGGAGGCTGAGGCAAGAGAATCGCCTAAGCCCAAGAGCTGGAAGTTGCTGTGACCTGTGACAACACGGCACTCTACCGAGGGCTATAAAGTGAGACTCTGTCTTTAAAAAAAAAAAACAAAAAACAAAAAAACCAAGAAACCTATATGGAGATTCCATGAATTTTCTGTTGAAATAAAAATAATACTATCAGTGAACAAGGGCTATAAAATAAAGACAAAATAATACTAGCTAAGAATTATTAATCACTGTGTGTTGGGCATTGTTGTAAGAACTTTAAAAATTAAAATTGATATTCTCAGAAGATATTCAACATGGATATCTCTAAATTATTTTTATATTTAAGAATATTAAACATGCATTTAGCACAGTGCACCTTTACTCATGAGTAGGAGTTTCAGTTCCTTTGTAGATCTGTTGAGGAGAGAGGAAAGAGGAATTAGCATAATCTCAAAGGAATATTTATGATAATGAAAACCTTCAGGTTGCAATGACCCTTGGAAATTTAGGGCTTAAAAGGAATTAAGCTATTTTCTAGGGCATAAATGAACAATTTAATATATCAATGACATAGGTCTTTTCCCAAACAAATATTTAGTTTTTAATTATTTTTTCCTTGACTATATATTTGAAAAGTTTGAAACCTTCAGAAAAATTAAAGAATAATACAATGAGCATCTGTTTGCCTTTTGCTGAGATTCGTTAAAGTTCAGCTACATTTGATTCTCTCTGCTTCTTTTTTTCTTATCCTCATACTTTTTTTTCCTGAACCAAACAGAAGAAAGTTGTTGACATCATTTTACTTTACCTAAAGCATATGAGTTTATTCCTTTTAAAAAGAAGGATAGTGTCCTATGTAACCAAAATACAGTAGAACCTCTGTAACTGGGTCACCCAAGGCATTTTAATAAACTAGTCAACATATGGAGGTGGTGACATAAGGCATTAGGCCTACTGTACCTACCTACATGTGGTGCATGTCTGGTCCATGAAAATTAAATCAAGGAGGTGATCAAAGTAGGGAGGTGGTCAACTGTGGAGTCTCTACTGTACATTTATTTTAAATTTGTGGTTAATATAATTTTCTCTGAAATGTAATCTGTTTTCAAATTTCCTCAATATTGCAGTGTCTTTATAGCTTTTTAAAAGGTAAATGTCTCTGGTTGGGCATTGTGGCTCATGCCTGTAATCTCAGCACTTTGGGAGGCTGAGATGGGAGGGTTGAGTAAGCAAAGAGACCCTTACCTCTACTTAAAAAAAAAAGCCAGACTTGTTAGTGTGTGCCTATAGTCCCAGCTACTTGGGAGGCTGAGTCAGGAGCCCAAGAGTTAAAGTTGGAGGCTACAGTGAGGTATGATGTTGTCATTGCACTCCAGCCTAGATGATAGAGCAAGACCTCCTCTCAAAAACAACAAACAAACAAAAGAGTATCTTCTTTCCTACTGATGAACCAGAACATAGGTATATTCAGAGAGCCCTTTTTATATGTCGCACTCAGCTCACTTAATCTTATCTTCCTTATGTTACTGTTTGGATCTTTTATTCTTAGTAATTCTATAAGTAGAAATTTTCCTACAAAGTTTTCATTGCTGAGATGAAACACTGGGGTAATTCAAATGCAAGAAACTAACCCTGATGTTTACAGACATACGAGTTGTTTTTTCTGGATGCATTGCTAACTACTTATTTTTTCTAGGTGTTAAGGGGCATTTCTTGTACTGAAAATGATTATTTTTATGATCCGTATAGATCTAATAATGTGGTTGTATGAAAAAATCATAATATTTTCATTATGTTATCATATTTATGTATTTTTAATTGTTTTTTATTTGTTGTTAAGAGTTTTATGTTTAATCACTAAGGTATATTGCTTGTTTTCAGGAGATTAAGCGATGAAAAAAATCTTCCTCTTGACGGTAAACGTCAACGTTTCCATTCACCCCACCAAGAACCAACTGTAGTTAACCAGATAGTGCCTTTATCAGGTGAACGAAGATACTCAATGCCGCCATTGTTTCACACGCACTATGTACCAGATGTCGTCAGATGTGCTCCACCTTTTCGAGAAATAGCATTTTTAGAACCTAGAGAACTCACACTGCCTGAGGCCAAAGATAAGGTAGTAATTAGTTTTGCTTTTGGGGAACTTAATATAAATAACATATTAAAAGAATAAGAAGTCGCAAGGTGCCATGGTTTATGTCTGTGATTTGGCACTTTAAGAGGCTGAGGCAGGAGGATTGCTTGAGGCCAGGATTTTGATACCAGGCTGGGCAACAAAGTGAGACTTTGTCTCTATAAAAATTTAAAAATTAGCCAGGTGTAGTGGCACATGTTTACAGTCCCAGCTATTTAGGAAGCTGAAGCTGGAGGATTGCTTGACCCCATGAGTTTGAGCTTGCAGTGAGCTCCACTGCACCACTATATTCCAGCCTGGACAACCGAGTGACATCCCGGGTCTCCTCAAAAAAAATAAAAAATGTCCTAGATTAAGTAGAACATGCCTTTTTTACACTGTTTGAAGTACTATTCAACCCAATTTTCTATCAAAATATTATTTTGATTTTTGGTAGCTGTTCTCTTGTGGAAGTATAGCTATTAGGAAATCAAATTTTCTGATTAATGAATATTTGGGATTGTAGCCCAAAGCATTTGATTTTTTAGTTCAAATCTTGTTGGCTAGGCACCTGTAGCTCCGCGGCTAGGGTGCCAGCCACATACACCGGAGCTGGTGTGTTCAAATCCAGCCCACACCTGCCAAACAACAATGACAACTACAACCAAAAAATAGCTGGGTGTTGTGGCAGTGCCTGTAGTCCCAGCTACTTGGGAGGCTGAGGCAAGAGTTGGAGATTGCTGTGAGCTGTGATGCTATGGCACTCTACTGAGAGTGACACAGTGAGACTCTGTCTCAAAAAAAAAGAACTGTCTTTGTTTCTCATTCTTTTTTTTTTTTCCTGTTAAGATAGAATCTCACTCTGTTGCCCTAGGGTTGAGTGCTGTGGTGTTATAACTCGTAACAATCTCAAACTCCTGGGCTCAGTTGATCCTCTTGCCTCAGCCTCCTGAGTAGCTGGGACTACAGGTACCCACCACAACACTTGGCTAGCTTTTCTATTTTTAGTAGAGATGGGGTCTTGCACTTGCTGGGGCTGGTCTTGAACTTTGGAGCTCAGGCGATCCACCAGCCTCAGCCTCTCAGAGTGCTAGGATGACAGGCATGAGCCACCACTCCTGAGTGTTTCTTGTTCATATTACAAAAAATAAGTTATCATATGGTTACGAAATGCAATGTTAAATATTTTCTTTTGGAATATTTATGTTTATCATGAGATTTTTGAATGTCAAAAGTAGAGAATCCAAGAATCTCTGAAGAAGAAGTACAATTAAAATAAGGTCAAGAAAGACTTATTAAAAATATCATTTGTAAAAAATATTCAAATGAACAAAATAAAACTATTTAATAATTTTGGGAAAATGGTATTGTCAGCAATGGGGAGTGAGTTAACATCTAATATTTAAAGCCTGTCTTGGCTTGGCGCCTGTGGCTCAAGTGGCTAAGGTGCCAGCCACATACACCGAAGGTGGCAGGTTCGAATCCAGCCTGGGCCCGTCAAACAACAATGATGGCTGCAACCAAAAAAAATAGCTGGGTATTGTGGCGGTCACCTGTGGTCCCAGCTACTTGGGAGGCGGAGGCAGGAGACTTGCTTGAGCCCAGGAGTTGGAGATTGCTGTGAGCTGTGATGCCACAGCACTCTATCCAGGGTGACAGCTTGAGGCTCTGTCTCAAAAGAAAAGAAAAAATAAATAAAGCATGTCTCTTTTCTCCTTCATATTTATTGAAACATAAGTAATAAAAAACCCCTTCCAGATAAGTGAAAGGTTACCTATGTTCCCTCAGATTTACTCTGTCTTACATTTACTATTTTTGTGTTTTCAAAGCTGCTTTATTTTTGAGAGATATAGTTGCAGGTTAAAGAGAAGGAGTCTGAAAAGAGTCTAGTGTTTTTGTTTTATTCATCTTTGAGTTCCTAGCAAGCAGTTTAATTCTGGAAAATAGTAAGTGTACAGAAAATGTTGGGCCAGAAAATCAACATCTGCTTCTTAGTTGCATTGATAGATCCTTTTGTTCTTTGAGTTATAATTGTGCCATAAAATTCACCCGTTTGAAGAATATAGTCCAATGGTTTTTCGTGTATTCACAAAGTTGTGCAACTGTTACCAGTATGTGATTCAAAATGTTTTCATCATCCCCCAAAGAAACCTTGAACCTAATAGCAGTAACTTCTCTGTACCCTGCTTTCTGCCCTTGGTAGCACCTAATCTGTTTTCTGTCTCTAGGGGTTTTCTTCTTTTTTTTTTTTTGAGATAGGGTCTCAAGCTGTCACCCTGGGCAGAGTGCTGTGGTTTCATAGCTCACAACAATCTCCAGCTTTTGGACTCAAGCGGTCCTCTTGCCTCAGGTTTTTGTATTTTTTAGTAGAGAACGGGTCTTGCTCTGGCTCAGGCTTATTTTGAACCCATGAGCTCAAGCAGTCTTCCTGCCTTGGCCTCCCAGACTGCTAGGTTCTCGGGATTTTCTTAAAATGGGGATTTCATATAAATGGAGTTATGTAATATGTGGCCTTTGGTATCTTGCTGCTTTCGCTTTTCATATTTTCAAGGTTTGTCCATGATGTAGCATATATCAGTACTTCATTTCTTGCTTGAAGCAGAATAAGATTACATTGTATGAATATACTACATTTTGTTAATAGACTTCAGTTAATAGACTTCCTCACTATCATGAATAATGGTGTTATGAATATCTGATACAAATATTTGCAGGGCACCTTTTCCTTTCCTTTAGTTGTATACCTGGGAGTGAAATTGCTAGGTCATAGGGTAATTCTATGTTTTATTTTATTATTTTTTTCTTTTCTTTTCTTTTTTTTTTTTTTGAGACAGAGTCTCACCATGTCACCCTGGGTAGAGTGCTGTGGTGTCACAGCTCACAGCCACCTCCAACTCTTGGACTTAAGCGATTCTCTTGGGTCAGCCTCCCAAGTAGCTGGGACTACAGGCACCCACCACAACACCTGGCTATTTTTTTGTTTGTTTGTTTTGGTTGTATTTTCATTGTTCAGCAGGCCTGGGCCAGATTCGAACCCGCCAGCTCCAGTGTATGTGGCTGACGCCCTAGCTGCTGAGCTTCAGGTGCCAAGCCTATTTTATTATTTTTAACTTCTAATATGTGTAGTGGGCACAAGTTCAGTTTTGTTAGGTGAATATATTGCACATGTAGTGATGAAGTCAGGCTTTTAGGGTTCTTTTCACCTTATATTGTACTTAGGTCATTTTTCAATCCTCCTCCCCCTTTCACTTTCTCCCTTTGGATTCTCTACTGTCTTTTATTCCATTACGTATGACCATAAGTACTTAAGAGTTTAGATCCTGCTTACAAGGGAGAACATCCAGTAACTAACTCAATGTTTAACTTTTTGAGGAATTGCCAAAGCGTTTTCTAAAGTAGCCACACCAGGCCTGGTGCCTGTAGCTTAATGGGTAGGGGACTGGCCACATACACTGGGGCTGGCGGGTTTGAACCCAGCCCAGGGCTGCCAAGCAACAGTAACAACTACCACAAAAATACAGCCATGTGTTGTGGTTGGTGCTTGTAGTTCCAGCTATTTGGGAGGCTGACGTAAGAGATTTGCTTAAGCACCAGAATTTGAAGTTGCTGTGAGCTGTGACATGACAGCACTCCACCAAGGGCAACATAGTGAGGTTCTGTCTCAAAAAAATAAATAAATAAAGTGGCTGTACCATTTTACATTCCCATCAATAGTGTATCTATACTGTGGTTTTTCCATATCCTTGTTAACACTTGTGAGGCTTGTTATTATCTTATTTTTTCGATTATGGCCATTCTGGAGGATGTAAAATGGCATCACAGTGGAATTTTGATTTGCATTTCCCTACTGACTAACATTGAGTAGAAAAGATGCTTGTTAAACATTTATATATCTCTGGAGGAATGTCTGTTCAGATCCTTT